AGATTTCAGAAAATCTCTTGTTAACTTACCAGGAATAGTAAAAAATTTCCTTCTTACCCATCTAAGAGAGGAGATGAATAAGAGCATTAACTGCACTCCTTTAAGGGCTGGGCAAGAGGGACGGGGAGAGAAGACACTAAAGAGGTTCAAATCCCAGCTTGGCCATGTAAGCCCATTGAGTGACCTTGGGCATGTCACACACACTGTCTCATAAGATGGCAATGGCAAAGCCTCTCTGAAGAAACTTGCCAAGAAATCCCCATGATAAGTTCACCTTAGTGCTGCCATTAGCTGGAATTTGCTTGAAGGCACACAACAACAAAGGGGGGGGGGGAGGGAAAGAGAAAAACTGGAGGTAACAGAGAGGTGATGGCTGAAGGATAGAAAGACAAACGTAAGCCCTGGGCAGAGAGGAAAGAAGGCTGCCAAGATTAGCAGAAAGGCATAGAAGTTTGTTGTTCTCCCCCACAAATTCTTTGTAGACTTCCAACTCAGATGGTGAAAGAGCTTAATCTCACTCCTAGTCATTACTATTTTCATGGGGCGTTAGATTAGGGGTCTGACCTCCCCCACAGAAATTGGCTGGCACTGTTTTTTGTAGTTTGCAGAAAAGGAGCTTGTGCAGTTGTTTTGTGCAAGCAATCAGTTGGGTATCTCACCAACTCTTTAAGTGTACCCTTTTTAATCTGATGCTGGAGTTTGCTGTGGTATGTAATTTCACATCTAATCTGTTTCTTTTCATGGAAATGTCTTGCAAAAACATAGTTTCAAATTGTAAGAATCACAGGTATAAAGATGATCACAGTTCTATGCCCAATGGAAAGAGTACAGTTGTCCCTCCTGATTTGCGAGGGATCTGTTCTGCCCCCCCCCCGCAAATCGGAAAAAACGCAAATATTCAAAGCTCCTGGGTGCGCATGCCATTTTGTCTCTCCCTGCTTGCCATCCGCAAAGGAGAGAGACCATGGACTCCTAAGTCCGCGAACGGGGAGGGATGAGTTTATTTACGTAAACAGCCCCCTGTGTCTTATACGTAATGCATCTGCAGTGCACTCACTAGAAGGCAAGCAATTTGAAATGCCAGTAGTAAAGAAATTGCACCCTTCCTCTGAATATCCTTCTGGATCAGAGTTAAGGAAAATCAAACTAAATAAAGATCAAGGCACATAAACTCAGTGCATCTCTTTAGCTTGTGTATGTTTTGTGGCTTTCGGTTCTTTTACATGTTGTATTGTACTTTGGATATTTGAAACTTGTCCATGCCTGACTGTACCTTTTTCTGAGATGAGAACACATACAAAGGGCAGGTGAGTTGGACTTCTCACTAAGAAATAAATGGATAAAGTACGTGTTTCTTGCCTGAAATATATGGCAGATTACTCAAACTGCTACTACTGGATCTTGAGACTATCTAATACAGGGGTAGGCAACCTAAGGCCCGGGGGGCCGGATGTGCCCCCCCGAGGCCTTTGGACAGGCCCCAGGCCAGTCCTGCCGCTGCTGCCGCCCCTTGCCATGATGATATTGATATTGTTGTTATTACTTGTTCTTGGGGTTTTCTTGGCAAAATCTCCACAAGGGTTTTGCCATGGCTTTTCTGGAGCTGAGAGAGTGTGCATGCATATATTTTTTTATTTTTTTTAAAAATATTTTTATTTATTTGTTTGTTTATTTATTTTTGGTGCTTCGGCCCCCCAATTGTCTGAGGGACAGCAACCCGGCCCCCGGCTCAAAAAGGTTGCCTACCCCTGATCTAATAGGTTGTGTGTATGGGTCTTTATTTCTGTTCTGCATCGAGGAACAATAGAGATAGTTGCACATGCAGTTAAGAATGGCAGTCCTCTGTTCTGGCACATTTGATCTGTGTATAAATTTGTATTTTATTGATGTTGTTAACTTCCCTTGAGTTGACTTTAAGTCATGGTGACCTTGTGGGTGAGATGTTCAATATGCCCTGACCTCAACCTCTCTACTCAAGTCCTGCAGCCCCAAGCCCAAGCATGTGTTTAGTCTGATCGAGTCTAATCATCTGGCATGTGGTCTTCCTCTCTTTCTACTTCACTCCACCTTTCCTAGCATCATTGTCTTTTCTAATTATTCATTATTCTTATGATATGGTCAAAATACAACAGCCTCATTCTGGTTTCCAGGGATAGTTCAGGTTTGATCTGTTCTAGGACCCATCCATGTTATCTTCAGCACTCTTCTCCAGCACCACATCTCAAATGAGTTGATTTTTTTTCTATTGGCTTTTTTCACTGTCCAGCTCTCATCCATACATGGTGATGGGGAATACAGTAGCTTTGATATTCTTACTTTAGTATAATAATAATAATAATAATAAAATTTATTTGTACCCCGCCCAATGGTAATCCAATCCGGGTGGCTTACAGATTAAAACAGTCCCAAAAACAATATATACAATGTACCCCCCTCCCCCCTTAAAATAATATTAAATCAATAATAATTAAAACAACGAATTTAAAAACCCAATACAAGTACATTTTTTAAAAAGCCTCAAACAATCCTCACCATCAAATAGATGGGGCCACGAGAGGATTGCCATTGTAGAGCTGTTTGTATCTGAGGTGGGGATTCATTGGTCTGGAAAGGCCTGCCGGAAGAGATCCGTCTTAACAGCCTTTTTAAAGCTGTCTAAAGATGTTAAAAGACGGATCTCGTCTGGCAGGTCATTCCAGAGTTTGGGGGCGACAACTGAGAAAGCCCTCCGGGAGGTAGCCGCAAGCCTCGAATTCTGAGGTTGCAGCAAATTCCTCCCGGAGGACCAAAGAGCGCGGGGAGGATTGTACGGGAGAAGGCGGTCCCTGAGATAGTTTGGACCCATTTAGGGCTTTAAAGGTGATAACCAACACCTTGTACTGGGACCGGAAACTTATAGGCAGCCAGTGGAGGGACCGCAGAACCGGAGTATTCTTAAAAGTCTTTACATTTTAAGATCCTGCCCATCTTTTTCATAACTACCCTTCTCAGTCTCCTGATTTTGATTGCAGCTTCTGTTCTGATCAATATTTGATCCAAGATGTGGGAACTCCATTGTCTAAAGTGAATTGTTGTAGATCTTCTGTGGTCATTATTTTTGGGTTTTGTTAATTTTCAGCATTAGTCCAACCTTGGCACTTTCCTCCTTGAGCTTTTTTAGTACCCTAATTGTTCCAGGGTTTTGTTTCTGCTAGTAATATTGTGCCATCTGCATATCTTAGGTTGTTAATGTTCAACTTCTCCTAGCTTCACTCTTCTTGCCTCTGATTCTAAGCCTGCTCTGCATATTATATTTTCTGCATACAGGTTGAATAAAAAAATTAATTCCTTTCAACAGTATTTATAACTGTGGGATACAGATCAGTGAATAGTTTGTTCCCTAATTTGATCTTCTTGTTTACTCTATCCAATAAGGAAGTAAAAAACTGGCAAGATCAACTTAAAGCTAGTGTGGTATAGTGGTATGAGTGTTGGACAAGAACCTTTTGAGACTACATTTTAAATCCTGATCAGCCATGGAAAACCACTGACTGATCTTGGGCAAATCACACTGTCTCAGAGGAAGGCAGCGGCAAAACTCTTCTGAATAAATCTTGCTAAGAAAACCCAAGGATAGGGTTGATATAAGCTGTGGTCAACTTGAAGGCACATAGCAGCAACAAGGAAAGCGTAAATAAAGTCTCTATTTACTTTCTGTATCATTCATATGATTTTAGAGATGCCTGTAAAATAATTAAATGATAATAACATCATGCAAAATTAATGATAATAATTAACAAAATGCACAATTGTTAACATTATAGCCTGTGATATGAGTCATACATGAGCCAACAAATGAACAAGTAGCATTAACTGATTTACCTGCATTGGCAAAGGGCTAAGCAACATGTGCCAGTGGCTGCTGTGCTGGATTCATGTATTTACCCTGTTCATGCAGAAGGTACAGAGTGAGTTCAGTGGGTTTCAAGGGGAGTGTCAGATGGTTCTGTTCTGGGGCTATTACGCTTTTACATTTTCATTGATGACTTATAGCAGGGGTCGGCAACTTACGGTCTACGGGCCGGGGCCGCCCCCCCCGAGGCCTTTGGACCACCCCCCGCTGACCCTGCGAGTGCTGTTGCCGTGTGAGCCGCGACCGCCATTTTGGAAAACAAAATGATGGCCGCGGCTCATTCGTGCATGCGGAGGAGTACTGCGCATACGCAAATGAGTCGTGGCCGCCATTTTGGAAAACAAAATGGCGGCTGCGACGCACACGGTGGCGGTGGCCTGCAAAAGACCAGGGGATCACTTGACCAGCCCCAGGTAAGGGGAACTTGCTGACCCCTGGCTTATAGGATGGGGTGGAGGGAATCCTTATCAAGTTTGTGGATGATACAAAATGGGGAGAGGTAGCTAACTTATTGGACGATAGGATTAGAATTCAAAAAGACCTTGATAAACTAGAAAACTGAGTAGAAATTAATGAAATTCAACAGAGACAAATACAAAATTCTACATTCATGCTACAAAAACCAAATGCACGGCTATAGGATGTGGGATATTTGGCTTGGCAGTGGTATGATAAATTTGCCTTATAAGTTGTTTCCAAATTTATAAGGCAAATTTATCATGGGGTTTCCTTGGCAAGATTTGTTGAGAGGGGGTTTGCCATTGCCTACCGCTGAAGCTGAGAGTATGTGATGCCTAAGTTGTCAGCAGCTCCCATGTCTGACCAGGGATTCAAACCCTGGTCTCCAGAGTCATAGTCTAACACTCAAACCAATATGCTATCTTGGCTTTCTACATGTCCATGCTGGCAGTACTACATGTAAATAGGACCTTGGGATTATTGTTAATCATAAATTGAACATGACATAGCAGTGTGATCCAGCAGCAGAAAGAAGTTAACTACCAGAAGCATAGCATAGAACCATAGTTTCCAAGTCAAGGGAAGTAGTAGTACCACTATATTCTGCATTGGTCAGGTCTCATCTGGACTACTGCATTGAGTTCTGGGCATCTCATTTTAAAAAGGATATAGACAAGTTACAGTGGGTTCAGAGAAGGGCAACAAGGATGATATGGGATATGGAGAACCAAACATATGATGTAAGGTTGAAGGAGTTCACTTTGGTGAAGAAAAGACTGAGGAGTGACATTATTTACTCTTTAAATATCTCAAGGACTGCCACAGATATGAGGGTGGAGGTTTGTTGTTTGCAGCCCCAGATGATAGGACAAGGTCTAATGGCTTTAAGTTACAGGATGGTAGATTTCAGTTGAACATTAGAAGGAACTTCTTGACAGTAAGAGTGATTTGGCAATTGAAACAATTGCCTAAAGAATGATGGGGTCTCTTTCTCTGGATGACTTCAGAAAGAGGCTGGACAGCTACCTGATGGGGATGCTTTAGTTGTAGATCCTGCATTGAGTGGGGATTGGACTCAGTGGCCTATGAGGCTCTTTCCAACTCTGTAATTCTGTCATTTAACATCCAAATGCAGGTTTAGTTGTGGGCAACTAAGGTGTCCTTACTTTTCAGCTTCACCTTCCGCCATTTCTTTCATTCAGCATTTGCCTTCCCCCAGTTTGGCTAGTTTGTGATAATGGGTTAGGAGAGGGGAGGGGCAATTTGGATGATGAATTGCAAGTTGCTGAGGGAGTCCCCCTTTTGATTCAAAATTAGATCCCTATTAACTGCTTGTCCAGGGCTGTATCATCACATCTAGGTGAACTGAAACTATTAATGGTTTAGGACTCCTAAGGGATGTTCCATGCAGGCTTTTCCCCCCTTCAGAACGGGAACTTATTCTTTTTAAGAGCATCTCCATAATACTGCCAGACCATTTTCAGTGTTCTTTAATTCTCCTCTGCTTGTTCAAACCTCACCTGCCATTGGGTCTTCTGTGTTTGAATTTAGCACTTTCTCTTGGGACATTTATGGTCTTTATTGCTTCCTGTTCATTCATGGTGCAGGATCAGTGATGAATAGCTTTGCTAAATTGCCCATTGCTAGTTTCACTTCCTGTGTGTAAGAGGCTAGAATTAGTAATCTTATCTCATTTTTAAAAGGATAAATTTGCAATTTCTTTGTGTTCTTTCATGCTTTCATGTATTAGCTTTTAAAACATAGAAGAAATCAATAATTAAAATCTTTTCTTAAGACACAAGCAAACAAGGCAAGTTTAGATAGGTTGTTCATCATGAGCAAACAGGGACTTTGAATTAGCTTTACAGAGAACCTTAGCTGAATTGATCTGTAATGAGCAGACATTACAAAAGCCTTTCTCCTGTGGGGAAAGATCATTACTGGATAATACAGCAGTTCATTAAGAGCAGTATGGTACCTTGTTTTTAATTTCTATTTCTGCTTCATTATGGAAAATCAGCACTTCAGTTACATTAAAGGCAGGGGGAGTGAGACTGAGTAGAAGAGCTAGTAGTAGCAGCTGGAGGAACATATTAGTGATGTCATACCTCTATTAACACCATGGAAACATTTTTGCTTTGTGGCTATTTTTAGGCAAACTTTATAGTATGTTTTCTTGAAAATTGTGATGGTTCTTGGTCCTTTACTGTCCAAATACATAAACAACAGTTATGAGACAGAGACAGAAATCAGAGTTAAAAGAAGTCCTCATATGTATAAATATTGCAGAATATGTCTCAGAGTACTATGATCATTCTTAATATTTGTGTAGTTTTTCTTCATATTTGAATGTATATGTTAAAAGAAGATAATAATAATAATAATAATAATAATAATAATAATAATAATAATAATAATAATAATATTTATTTATACCCCGCCTTTCCAAAAAGGATCAAAGCGGCTTACAAAAATTAAAAAGGCCAATATCATACAATAATAAAATACATACAATACAATACAATACTGGTCCAAGGAAGAGAACAGGAATAATAATAATAAAAAAAAAATCAGCAGAGTGGTACATGGAGAAAGGATACCGTTACTGAAACGGAAAAGCCAACTGAAATAAGTATGTTTTAAGATTTTTCTTAAAGGAGGCTAAAGAGACAGAGGAGCGGAGCTCTATAGGAAGCTCTATAGGAAGCTTATTCCAAGAAAAGGGGGCAACGATGGAAAAAGCCCTCTGGGAGGTCCTCATCAAGTGAGACCTGGGGACCTCTAACAGATTATATCCGGACGAACGAAGTGTGCGGGGCGGATTATGTGGGGAGAGGCGGTCCTTCAAGTACCCTGGAAGATGCACTTTAGTAGATCTTTGCATCAAAAAAATTGGTTGTGGTTAGACACACACTTTAGCTATGTTGAGTATGCCCAGGAGATGATATGTTGTTAAGCACTTTGATTTTTTTTAATAATAAATGTATTAGCTTTTAAAACATAAAACACACATTACCCCAAAGCAACTCAATTACACACTTAATGTATAACACGTGACACAGATAACACAACATCCTGAACTAAAAATGGAACTGTGTTACAATAGCCCCTATCCCATGCTTAAGGACGTGCTATCAGAAATTTAAGCTAAATGAGGATTCCAGATCATTTCCATAATGCTGGGTATCTATTTCTTAGCTCAGTACTGTTACATTATTGCATTTTTGATTATATTATCACATATCACACTATCACGTTGTAATTATATCTTTAAAATTTAAAGTCGAAGGATTTGGACTCTACAACACAGGATGAATGAAGTATGTTACATCCCACTAGTAAAACAGGATGTTCATGAGGTCACAGTTCATACTGTATCCTGTTACTCTCTCTATTGATGTTATCTTGTAAAATAACTAATGATAACATAATAAAGAGAATTGGTATTAAAACTGTATTTAGTAAAAATAACACCAAAAAGACAAATTCTCCCAGAGCCTCACCCTAAGCTTTCACATACCTAGTAAAGTAATTTCTATGCTTTTCTCCAGAAGCCATTAAAAATGCTTTTATGCAGTTTAGCTTGAAGCTCATTCCAAAGTGTGATCACCTTGGATATCCTTTGGATATTTATGAAATTGTTCTGGCAATTGCGCTTGGAGAGCCAGTGTCATGTAGCGGTCTGAGTGTTGAACTAGGACACTGGAAGACCAGAGTTTGAATCCTCCCCCACTGCCATGGAAACACACTGGATGACCTTGGGCAAGTCACATTTCTCACCTTCAGAGGAAGTCAAAGGCGACCCCATTCTGAACAAATCTTGTCAAGGAAACTGTGATAGATTTGTCTTGGGATCCCTATAGATTGGAAATGACTCAAAGGCACACAACAACAATTGTACTAAAATAAGTTTTTGGTTAAAGTAGCCACTGAAGTGCCTGATGGGACTCTGACTTTCATCTTGGTATATAAGAATGCATGCAGCCCAATGCCATGCTTATTGTAAGGATTATAGATCAATCTCGTGCATAGTTAGTCTTATTTAAACCCATGGAAACTAAGACAGTAAGCTAGTAGAAAATATGTAGGTTTCTTCAGCCTCCGGCATCTCAGTGTAGGACTGTGAAAGACTTTTGTGAAGAAGGGGGGAAAAAACCCCTCAAGAGAAGAATGTTAATAAATTTAGATTAGGGATGAGTGGCTGTGGAAGATTAGCAGCTGTATTAGCCCTCCAGGAGACTTTGGAATGCCACACCTACACTGCACCTGAAAAAAAAATAAATAAATGCTTTTGCTGCCAAAGCCTTGTAGGGGAAATTAGGGCATTTGGGGCCTTCATGGGCCCCTAGCGGACATTTCCAGGCATTTTGAGGCAGTAAAAAAAAATAATAATCTGCAAGATTTCATTTTGTGCTCTCTAGTTGGGGTGTCCAGTGATGTGATGGAAGTGCCCTCCACACCCCTGGACATTGTTTTTAGGCATTTTGCAGCAAATGCTCCTGGGGTCCACAAAACAGATGGGGGGGCTGCGTGCGGCCCACAAGCCACACTTTGCCCACCCTAGATGTCCTAATTTTCTTACTTAGGATAAGGGAGCTTCCTATATTCTTCATGGACATACATGTGCTTACTTATTCATAGAAAGGAGTTGGGGGTCTGGTGAAATGGCTGCATTACAGTACCCACCTTAATCTGTGAGAAGAAAAGTTGAGCAAATTTCTTCTTCAGGGAAGAAATCTTACTAGTATTGAAAACAAATTACTGATAGATTCTATTCTTGACACAAATGCATTTTTTGTGTGTGTGATGCGGTGGCTTAGTGGTTAAGAAGCCAGTTGTGATGATCAGAAGATCATAAGCTTTGCAGTTTGAGGCCCGAGTGCTGCATGATGAGGTGCGCTCCTGTCACAAGCCCCAGCTTCTGCCAACCTTGCTATTTGAAACCCTGCAAATGCAAGTAGATAGGTAGGTACCACCTCAGTGGGATGGTAGCAGCGTTTGGTAGAGTCATGTTTGTCACATGACCACCAGAGTAGTCCTTGGACAACGTTGGCTCTTCAGTTTATAAATGGAGATGAGCACCGCCCCTTATAGTCAGTTATGAGTAGGCATTCATATCAAGGGAGTACCTTTATCTTTAGGTAAAGAGGTGATATGATAGTCATGTTTAAATATTTGAAGGGGTGTCATACTGAGGATGGAGCAAGCTATTGTCTGCTGCTGCAGAGAAGGAACACAAGTAGTGGATTCAAGCTGTAGGTAAAGAGATTCCACCTCAATATTTGGATGAACATCTTGATCGTAAGAGGTGTTTGGCAGTGGAACACGCTACCTTGGAGAGTGGTGGAGTCTCCTCTGGAGGTTTTTAAACAGAGGCTGGATGGTCATAGTAGATTGTTTATTCCTGCAAGGCAGGGGATTGGACTGG